AATCTCATCAAGCTTTTGTACATGAGATTATTCTAAAATTTATATGGAAAGGTTAAGAACTGGTATATCACTAAAATACTTGTTTTGAAAGAGGAGACTAAAATGGGAGGGTCAGTCTACCTGATTTTAAGACTAATTTTATAGCCACAGTAATGAGGACTGTGCACGCTTGGTGCAACAGAACCTAAAACTTAGAAAGAGACTCACAGAAGTATGTCTGCTTGAATTTTACAGAAGTGTGAAAGCTATTTAATATAGGAAAGATAACCTCTCAACAAGTGGTTCTGATTGCTAACAAGCAATTAGATATCCATAGGTAAATATCCATAGTAATTCTAATTGCTAACAAGCAATTAGATATCCATAGGTAAAAAGAAGGAAGGAAGGAAAAGAGGAAGGTAGGAAGGGAGGGAGGAAGGGAGTGACCCAGGAAGGGAAGGAAATGAACCTCCACCTAAGGCTCACATCTCCTACAAAACTAAACTCAAAAAGGATCACAAATTTAAATGTAAAATCTAAACATCAGGTGATCTGGGGTGAGGCTACGAGTGCACAATATTAGGGAATTTTTCTGGTGAAAACGTTTGACATCTTGGCTGTAGCAACGTCAAAATCTTGGCTGTGATATTATATGGTGATTTGTCAAGACGGTGCCTTTGGAGGAAGCTGGTAAAGGGGACATAGGATCTTTCCATACTCATTCTTAAAACTACACAAGAACCTACAACTATATCAAAGTCAAAATATGGTATTTGACTTACAATAGCACAAATAAAATAACTTATTCAAAGTTTTGTTTCACATTTGAATTCAACACAGATAATCTCAATGCAAAGAGAGGAATAGGTAAAGCTGAGCTGAGTGAAAGTGGAAGCCAGATAGCATGGACAGACTGACAACCTGCTATTCAGATTAAGAATCAGGACTGAATTCACCAGCTGGGGCTGGAAGTAAGGCAAGTTTATGATAGAGCTACAAACAGTATGCCTTTAATAAAGCCATACTAAGAAGTGCTGTGAACAGGAATTAAGTGGAGATATATATATATATATATCTCATGTATATATATATACATAATCTCATGTATATATATATACATATATTCGTTTACTGATCCAGGTGTATAGTCCAGAGATGCTTAAGCCAGGCCATTGGTGGGAGTACAGTACCCATAGAAATCAGAACCACAATTCTGCATCATGTGTAGATGTGGCGACTATGTTTCCAGTGCAAAAAGATTAACTGTAATACTTACAACAAACTCAGTTGGAATCAATCCCCTAGGACGTCTGCCAGCAGCAAAACCAAAACTACCCTGCTGGGATCCTCATTCTTCCCAAGAATTAATTCAGAGTCTAACTGATTAAAGAACACAGTTTCTCTGTCAAAGAACTCAGAGTGGGGCAAATCCACTAAACTGTTTAAAAGAAACACGTCTCTAATTTCAAGTTATGAAAGTTTCAAGGGATGCAGAGATGACACAGGAGCACTGCTGCCAAGCCGGGGACATGGCTGACCCAGTCTGGAAGTAGCCACCAAGAGGCTGGGGACCACACCCATGCCAAAGGATGGGAAATGCACTTCCTAGGATCATCAGTTCAAAATCCCCTGGACCTCTTCCAGGGGAAAATGAATAATCTGAAATCACAGACAGATCCGGGCAAACACAGCCTCCAATGCCTCATTCAGTTACCCCCATCGGAAACAAAGAATATTCCAGGACTGAGCCCCAGGAATGGAAAGGCAGATGTCCTGGTCCACATGAAAGTGACGCCTTCCTGAGAAAGGCTTCCCAAATGCTGCGTTTACCCCTGGAATGGTGGGAGGCTGAGAGCCAGGAGATGCTGAGCCTGCCATCCTGTAACTTTGATAGTGGGATCATCCCTAGATGAAAAGGACACCAAGTATACCAGAGTCAGACCCCAGGTATGTGATCAAGAGGCGAGACCCAAGTCCATTCACTATGCTTTTTATTAGAACCACTCTAAGCGGACACTGACAGTTTGCCCTATTAACAAGAGCATTAAAGCCAATTACAAGATATACTCACAGAAAGGAAAGAAATTCACTTAGCTCTTGGTGCCTTTCTATTACCATGCATGAATTGTCAAGTTATGTATGAAAAACTATAAAATAATCCCAGTGCAGTGTTTTTGGTGAAATTATTCAATAATTTGGCTCTAAAACTTTCCTGTAATCTTGGCTACCACTGCCTCCTCCTGTACCTAGCATGAATCCGATACCCAAATCCAGAAATGCCCACATGGTGGTACTCACCACTCCTTGCACCTTTTGAAACTGAAAAGGTCCTGATAATCTATTTATTCCCAAACCTCAAATAATGTTACACAACATGCAACTTCCCGTAAAAAGCAAAAGATCAAAGTAGGGAGCAATTTAGAGCAGCAGTTCTCGTCCCTGAAAGTTAATTAAAATCACCTGGGGAGACCAGCTATTTTAAAGTATTGGCTAATAGAGCTAATTAATATTGATTCTTGCTAATCCTGTGGTTGGTAACACTGATTGCATATCAGAAACAACTGGGGAGCTTTTAAAAATACTGATTCCTGGGACTCACAATGCATCCACTTAAATTAGAACATTTAGGGTGTTTCATGCCAGGGCATAGATACATTTTTAAAACTCTTAGATGATTCTCATGTTGAGCCACTGTTAAAAGCAACTGATCTAGTCCAGTGCTTCTCAGACTTTAGTAAGCACAAGGCTTAGGGAGAGCTTCTTACACAGAGGTTTCAAATCTGAAGATCTATAGGGACAGAACATAGCTTGGTGATCTCCTTGGATTAGGCGGACAGAGAGTACTGGTAGATGACTGCTAAGAGATACAGGTTTCTTTGGGGGCTCATGAGAATATTCTAAACTTAACTGTATTCGTTGCAAAAATCTGTTAATATATTAAAAGGCCTTGAATTTTACACTTAAAGTGGGTAAATTATATGGATGTGAATTATGTCTTAACAAAGTTGTTAACAGAGAGAGACAGAACAAGGACAGAGACAGATCAGAGACAGAGGCAGAATTTCTGCTCACCCCTAGAGATTCTGATGACCTAGGTCCAGAGTGAGGCCCACACATTTCTCTTTTTAATGAGTCTCCTTGTGATGCTAATCCTGTAGGTCCAAAGAACACACTGTTCTAACTCATGGAGAGAGTTTTGTGAGTATGATAATTACTGCATTTGCATGGCTAGTGAATACACATACTTCCTAATATCACAGTCTCAGGGGAAGTGTGGCTGGCCTTTGCAGTTTGTCTTGCAGACCACTCCTATGTGCCCATCCTCCCAGGTCAAGGGCGTCTTTCTTCATTTCTCCTGGCCACAGAGAATTGGACAGCAGTGACGTTTCCAGGATTACCTTGTAGAAGCAAGAAAGTTGGGACAGCAAAGGGGAGACACGATGTGAAGCTTGAGTGAACCAAGAAAATGAAGACTCTGGAGCTGGGAGAGCTACCCCTGTTCAACAAAGCAGTGCATGAGGCCTGGGGAGAAGAAGGCCCTATTGCTGGCTTTATGATGTTAATACACTAATTAAGATAAATGGTAAATACCTATATTTGAAAATCTAGATTTACAGAAAGAGGCAAAACAAGATTATCCATTTATTGTATGAAGCAATTCATGCTCAGAGGTCCTCCAGAAAATTTAAACTGTGAGTTTCCCCACAATAGTCCACCAAAGTCAAATTACACAGATGTAAGATAAACAGAAACCTGAATTATGAAGAACAGAAAATGGCAGTCATTTTGAGAGGACAGGGGCCTTCTGTATGAATGCCAGTGTCACCAGTGGTTTTCCTTGGCAAACCTCAGACTCCACCATGGCCCATGTCAGGACTCTGGACTCTGCCCTGTCAGCCACCCGCCCGAGGTGCATACCGCGAGTGCTGGTGCCTGCCTCTCACTCAAGCCTGAAGAAAACCTCAAATAATGTTACACAGCATGCAATTTCCCTTAGAAAGCAAAAGATCAAAGTAGGGAGCAATTTAATTATGAAAACTAAACTTGGTCACACTTCGAGATGTAGCATATAAGAGAAAAACTCAGACTCTAATTTGTACAATTAAGTTATTCAGGATCTCCAAGCTTCCTTGACTGCTAAAGGAGGAAGGGTAGGGGCAGCGTACATAAATCACATCATAAACCACATACTCCAATGTCTAGTGTACTGGAAATATGGAAAGGAAAAATAATAACAGCTAACATTCTTGGGGTGTCATTATTTACTAAGTATTCTTCCAATAGGCATATACATATATTAACTCATTTAATCTTCACAATGCTGTATTACAGATGCCAGCAAACTTTTCTGACAAATGTTTTTAGCTTTCAAGGCTTTATGGTTTCTATGCCAACAACTTAGCTGTACTGATGTGGTTTGAAAACAGCCATAAATGGTTTATAAAGGCATCTGAGTGTATCCATGTTCTGATAAAAATCTAGTTGTGAAAACAGTAGGTGGACCATAGTTGGCCAACCCTGGCTCTGAGACTAGTTCTATCCTTGTTCCCATTTTACAGATGAAAAAACAGAAGTGCAAAGGGCTGACAATCCAAGGTCCCACATAACATCTGATTCCCAAGTTCCTGACCCTCCATCTTATTAGTTGCTGACACCACCATCATTATCAGTAAATCTCTCACTCCATACAAATTCTGGTTTACCTAATTCAAAAGTTGCCAACCAGCATTCATTGAACAATACCCTCAGGCCTGCCCCAAAGACCCAGAACAAATCCTCCCTCTTCTCTTCTCTCCCACCCCGAGTTCACAGTTTGAGTTCTCTCTCTTCTGATCCCCCAGTGCCTTTATTCTCTGTACCTCCAAACTGATCACCTTCTGTTTATTATACACCTTTTCCCAATCCCTTTGGAATGCTCAATTCCCGAGTTTTGATGGGACACTGAACCTGTTCAGAGAAGGTCCAGACTGAGCCTCAAAGAACCTGGGGCAGAGCAGAGAGGTGACTGTCCAGGCACTCACCAGTCCATGGCAGGCACTGAGGACTGCATACCCAACTTCAATGCTCTGCTGCTGAACTGTGCCCCTGAGATGGCAAGGGGGGCCTGAGGAAGCAGCAATCTTAACATGGGAAAGGTTCCCATATCTCTTCTCCACGATGTAGCTATTGGAAAGAAATCCTCGATTGACTGTCAGGTTGAAAAACAGGTCCTCCTCTTCATGTGAAATTCTATAGTACACGTGGTCCTCCGAGCCATCCAATCCTCTTTTCCTCCTGCTGCTGGTGACAGGAAGGTTCAAGCCATAGGACAGGAAGTGCCCACTAGAATCTACTCTGACAGGTGCTACCACGTGATATTCTGGCAGGGCCTGCAGAAAACGCTCTGAAAGAAAAGAAGACACAAATAAGACTGACAGACTTGGGCTGAATCTGCAGAGAAGCAAACTGACTTCCACTTGGAACCTAGATTCTAGACTGCAGATTCCAAAACCCACTGTTGACTTGAAGCTCAGAGATTCTTTCCATCACACAAGTCCTGTCAACATTAAAAACCCTGAGCAACTCAAAATTACGTAGTGTTTCCTCCTCAGTAATATACGCCAGTCTGACCTAACACTAAAATAGAGTGCTGGGTGTCAGGTATTTCATCAGAGGCAACTTAAAATGAGCATTAATTCATGAGGAATACTGTGAGAGAAGGGGCAAGGTCAGTGACAGGATCAGGGACAATGCCAATCTAGAGTTCATTGATACAAGTCACAGAGGTTTCTGACAAGGTACATAAGCTCCTCAGGAAACTTCCTGCTAAGTCCAGTTAAAGGACAAAGCAAAAATAAAATCTCAGTGAACTCAGAGCACACACTTGGACAAACTGCACACCAATGACAACAAAAAAGTCCCATGATACAGCAGCGTGCTTAAAAGAACTTGGGAGAATTTTTAAATGTTTACAAGTACAAAGTACAGAAAGCAAAGTAAAATGGTAAGGGAACATATTAAAATCTGAGGCATTTATTCAAAACACAAAAATTTCCACTTTACAAATACAAGGCAGGGACCCTTCTTTCATACACATACACACACACACACACACACACACACACTCACACTTACACTTTTTGACTTACCTGAATTTTATTCCCGATCACCACTTCTTTATTTTGATGTTTGGCAATAACAAAGGATCTAATAAGCATAGAATTGGTCACAGAACATAAAGTTCCCACAGACTAAGCATTATAGACTAAGTAACACAAACCATTAACCACTTAGTAAGATCATATTTTGCTTCAAGGGAAAAAAGAAGGGAAGGGAAGAGACGGGAAAGAGGCAGAGAAAGACAGAGAGAGGGAGGAAGGAAGAAAGAGAGAGGAAAAAAAGAGAGGGAAGGGAGAAAGGAAGAAAGAAAGAAGGGAAGGAAAGGAAAGAGAGGAAGAAAGAAGGAGGGAGAGGAGAAAGGGAGAGAAGAAGGGAAGGAAGGAGGGAGGGAAAGAAGGAAAGATGGAGAAAGAGAAGGAGGGGGATGTGAGTGGAAGGTAGAGAACTTTCCACCTTCCAGCTGTACCACTTACATTATTTTGTTCATGTTATTTTCCCAAATACAATGATTTTGCATTATCAAAATCCTGTCTATGCTTTAAAGATACAAATTAAATTCTTTCTCTTCAGTCTAAGATTCTTCTCCTTTGCCTGAACCCTCATGCTCTCACTCTCAGTACTTCCCAGATTGCTTATATCGCCATTGGTCTATTATACTATCTGTCCCTAAACCTTTTGGAGGACAAAATCTTGTACATCACAGGTGTTCCATTGTTGTGTTTATGTATCAGTGGGCATGTTGATAGCTAGGTAATTAAAATAAATGCACTCAATGGGATGCAGTTACAAAGGAGCACTTTATTCTAGACAAGTGCTCTCAAGCACAATTTGTAGAACCATTCTTCTCTGCCTTGGATGAAATATGACGCAGAGCAGTTTCTCCTTGTACTTGCTAACAACAGTCTCAATGTTTAAGTATAGAATGCACAGACCTATTTCTTCCAAACGCAATATTTAGGTACAACTGTCCACGCAGCAACGAGGACAAATCATAAAAACAATACTCAATGAAAAGTAAGAAATGAGGCAAGTTAATTCAGAGCTATTCATATTGATGGAAAACACACACACACGCACACACACACACACCAGAAAGCTTTCCAGAACACCCACAAACAAAATTTACATGTGGAGCCCATTAAAATGGATTACTGTGTGGAGAAATTGGAGTGGGGAATGAGGAAAAAATGTAAAATATATAAAACAAAAGACAGTTTCTGCACAAATAATAATGCTAGTGGGCCAGGAGCTGAGGAGTATAACTGACTCATTTCACTTTCTGCCTCCCACTCACTTCTGCGGAAATGCCTGGATGGATCCAATATTGGCACTTCTTCGACCTCATCTAGTATGGGCTCTTGTTTGACCTCCCATGTTCAGACTTCAGTGAAGAGAGATGTCCAGGTTGAGTTGGGTGGACATTGCTACTGTACTCCTTCCTTCATGCCTCTCTTCTCTTCCGCTGCTCACAATGATTCCTCTGGATAAGCCAGGGTTGGAGCAACGGAGGGAAGTTTGACTTGGCTTGGTGCACCTGTCACTTGGCAATGGTATTTCTGTGTGGTCAGTATCCAGATGCTGACCCCTTCTCTCAGGAGACACTCTCTGGGCTTTGGGAAATCTCTGTCAGTAGGGGTTGCCCAGGTCCCTCAGTGTGGGCAATCCCTCCTCCAGCTATCCACCTTTCCATCCTCCACCCTAGACTGAAGCCACTGTACCACCATAGGGAGTCCTCTTCAGCATCATTTCAACATGACTCAAGATCCTTTTCAGGAGTCCAAATTTGACACACAGGAAATAATACTGATCCTTATGCTTTCCCCTAAATTAGGGAAATCTCACCATTCCTGGCTGGCACTGTCATAGTCTTGGTTGGCTCTGTCACCAAATGCTATTTCAGTGAATCTTTTTGTTTTTTGGCACGTGTCTTAGTTACCTATGTCATTACTGAGACAAAATACCTGACACCCACAAGTTAAAAGAGGAAAGGTTTATTTCATCTCACAGTTTGAAAAGATTTCAGTCCATACTTGGCTGGCTCCAAGGCAGAGTACAGTGGCAGAGGGGCATCACAGAGGAGAAAAATATATGTCAAAGCAAGCAGGAGACAGTGAAGCAGCAGCAGTAGTAAAAATTTAGCCTGCCTCTCCCTTTTATCCCATCCAGGCTACTAGCCTTTTGTGTGGTGACCACCACACCCAGGGTGGTCCTTCCCTTATCCACCCCCTTAATTGCAGCATCACACCCTAATCCAGCCACCTTAGAAACTCTCCATCTATAAGCACACAAGGCTTTGGAGATACAGATCTACATACAAGGCAAAACAGCATGTTAAGGTTCAAATCTACTCCCCATGCCCCCCAAACCCATAGAAAACCTCTGAAATCTCTTGGTCTGGAGGGGCAGTAGAGGAGAATACCCTGACACTTTGAATCTCTCCTGAAGAAAAATCTCTGTCCAATATCTTCCCACTGACCTTGAACCCTCTCATGAACACACAACAAAGGTGAAAGGCATAGAATTGCATCGTCTAGAATTGCAACCCCTGCACACATAGTCTGGAATTTAGTTTTACAAATGCATGAGAGATTAACCTCCTTTTCATCCTCACACTCAAGGTCTTGGCAAGAACTGAAACAAAGGGAAAACTCTTATTTTAAAACCTTATACATATGCATGTCTGCATCTTTTTGTTTTTTGTTTTGTTTTGTTTTTTTGTTTTTTTTCTGGTACCAGGAATTGAACTCACGACCTTGTGCTTGCCAGGCAGGCACTATGCCGCTGAGCTAAATCCCCAGCCCCAAGTCCTTGCATCTTTACCAAGCAAAGAAACAAACATTTTTTCTAACAGCTTATTTTTCAAAAAGCCATTACTGATCAATTTAAAACTAAAAGTAACAACATAGTTTAAAAAATGAATACTGAGGTAAAGATTATACTCTTTGAACAAGCTGAAAAGTGTTGAAAATATCTTATTGGTATGGTCAAAAAGTAGTTATAATAAATTCAGGCTGACATGAAGTTGAGACAAACAGATAAATTTTAAATTAATATCATCTTTGTTTCTGTTTTATGAGTCAGAATCATATTGTGTAACCCAGGCTGGCCTTAAACTCATGATCCTACTGCCTCACTCTTCTAAGTGCTGAGACAGCAGGTGTAGGCAACTTGGTTGGCTTGGGAACCATCCAGGATTGGTACAGCACACTTCTGGGTGTGTCTGGGTGGGTCATGGAAACACAACCTTGGATACTGTATCTGGTCCCTTGCCCTTTCCTCTCTGGTACTATTTCCCTGCTCTGCTTCCAAGTGGTATGAACTAAGCACTTTTGCTCCACCATTCCCTCCCACTGTGATGTTTCTGCCTTGGAGCCAGCAGACCATGGACTGAATCCCCTTAAGACATGTGCCAAATTAATTCTTTCATCCTCAAATTTTAAGTGTTAGGTACTGTGTCCAGCAATAGAGAAGCTTACTAATACACATGTTCTTTCTCAGTTGATACTCATAACAATCCTTTGGTACAGATTCAGTGGCCATCCCCATTTCACAGAAAAAAAATTGACTCTAAGAAGTCAGTATGCAACATTACTTAGGTTGAAACCTTGTGCTTTCTATTTCAAAATCATATTTTCAGCCATTGTTTGACACATACAGAAAGAGGGCCAGATGCCCTTGACAGAGAGCGCTGTGGAGTTAGAGGTAACAGCATGGCCTCTAGGGATGATTGCTAAAATACCTCGATTTGCTCAGCAATAAATGGAGGCAATTATTATTGACTCCTTACTGGGCACAGTAATGGGACATTAGATCAGCTTTCACTCCTAATTTAACTACAAAGGAAGCAGCCCATAGGTGTGGATGAAATAGTGTGGTTTACACTGACACCCCAGTTACAATAGTCTCATCTACACAACGAGCATAAAAATAATAGTACCTACCTCCTGAGGTGGTTATGAGGTTTCAACATATTAGTATATATCATATGCTTAAAGTAACACTTGACAAATAATATTCATTAGCTAAACACTAACACTGTTGGTATTAAAGATAGAAATTTGGTCACCAGGTATCATTGTGGCCATAAATAGAGGCAATCTCCAAGCAAAGACAGGAGAGAAGCTCATAGTTCCCTTTGCTTTCTTTCAGTAGGAGTTTAATTTGACAGATTAGTTAGCTGTAATCTCAGCTCAAAGCAAGCAGAAGTCAGAAAGGATGTGAGAAATAGGTGTCAAGAAATAATAATAGCTCTTCATTTTTACCATTTCTATGATCAAGAGTGGCATTAGAAGTGTACTTGTTTGGTCTTATCTAATCCTCATAGTTCCCTGGTGATAGATTATTAACTGTGTCCTTCATTGCTAAGTTTGGTTGTGATTTGTTCCCCAAAGGTTCTTGTACTGGAAGCTTGGTCTGCAGTGTAGTAGTATTAAGATAATGGGACCTTTAAGGTGCAGGGCTAATAGAAGCTTGGCTAGGTGATGGGGGCACCACCCTTGGAAGAGATTAAAGTAGTTCTCATGGTACCCTAGTTAGTTTCCATGACAGCAAGTTGTTATTAAAAAAAAAAAAAAAAAGAAAAAAGAACAAAGCAGCCAGGCCCCTGACCCCGTCCTGTTCTCTGTCTCACCATGTGACCTCTTCCTCTCAAATGTGCTCTCACCATCATGCCGTATATTATGCTGTGATAGAAAAGAGGCCCTCACCAACAGGTAAAATGGTGGGGCCTCCAATCTTAGATTTTCAGCCTCCAAACTGTGAGTTAAATAAACCTCTTTCATCTATACATTGAAATGGACTAAGAATATTCATTTTAGCCTCCATTCCCATCTGTAGAAGGCACAAGAAAGAGAAGTGAGGAGTCATGCTCAGGCTATTTGCCACTAGAAACACTTGCAAGCTCTGTCCTTACTGCTTCCCGAGGGTCTCCCCCTGAGGACCAGATGTCCAGGTGGGATGTCAACAAGACAGGGGATGGCACAAGAGACTAAGATATCCTCTAATTATTTCACAACCTGTGCTAGGGCTTATGGAAATAAATAATAAGACCTGAATACTTTCATTTGCCTTGCTTAAAAATTAGATTTGACAATTAGACCACAACTTTCAATAGGGCTTCATGAGAAATTAAATAAAGCACATGAGTGCAAGTCTTTTGACAATATAAACCTCTAAGGGATCATCTACTCTCAACTAGCAAAAAAGGCACTGAATGAGAGAATACTTATCTAAAAGTTTTTTTATGAAGTTTGGATTAAATTTATACTTGTTTTCTTATGGAACACTTCATGAATTTGCATGTCACATTCACATTCTCTGTATCATTCCACCTTAGTATTCTCCTACTGAGACAAACACAATCTGTAATTATCTGTATTTTTATTTCTATCTTAGAGAGCAACTGAATTTCTAATACTCCTTACTAAAACGGGCAACAAAATTCCTGCAACAAGTAGGGTCGTTTTCATGCTTTTTTTCTACTGGTGGTTGTAACCTTATGACGTGCATTTGTATCACAGAAATTGACATATGTTGACAAGTTGTGAGGGATCACATTAATCCCCTCATAGTTGTAAAATCTGCCACAGGAAGTTGGACCTGCTCACTAACCCTGTGATAATTCATCTGTCAACCATGTAGCTTACTCTAATTAACACACAATAACAAAGCTGCGAAGTCTCTTTTTATATTAAGGAAATATCTAAAACCATTTCTTCCTTACAGAATAGCATAAATAAATGACTATAGATGTTGTTCTACAAAGGTTTATTGGGACATAATTTCATCATATGTGGAGGAACATCTGAACAGAAATAAGCAAACCTGAAGGGACATTAGTGGCAGTACAGAGGAAAAGCAGTATGTTGCATGCACAACTCATATTCCCCATTACTCTGATACCTGGCTGTAAATCAAGAAAGCGTGGAGAAGTCATACCACATTCTCCCATCACAACAGAGGGAAGAACACTGACCATGGTTGCTGCAGTCTGCCTGCTTTTACACTGGGAAGGATCAAATTCATCTCCATTCTCTATCTTAGGACTAAAATCGTAGTTGTTAAACTGAGAAAACTAGAAGGAACCTGCATGCTTGTTCTAGTGTCTCAGTTTGTTTTCAACTGTGAAATGCTTTGGTGAAGTGGCATTAAGTAGGTGCTCAGCAAATACACATTACCTAGCAGACTGACCACCTGGACTTCCCATTACTCATCAGTAAAGATAAAGAAGATGAGGGAGATGATTTCTGAAGTAATCTACAAATTTAAGTGCTCAGGATTTGAGTGCAATTCAAAAATGTTGGAGTGAAAAGGGAAGGTCATCTATGCCAGGGAAGCTTTAGAATTGCCTTCTCTTATTAGTTTCTCTTCTCTCTCTCTCCTTCTCTCTCTCACACACACCTCTCCTACTTCAGTTCTAAAGAGAACTCTACTTAGAAGTTTCTCCTTAGCACCAAGAATTGCTTACCTGTAAATCTATTAGTGAGTTATCTGAGATTGGGGAATAAAGGTTTTTTTGCTTTTGTCTTTTTGAGGCAGGGTCTCCCTATTCAGTGCAGGCTGGCCTTGAGCTCACTCTGTAGCCCAGGCTGGTCTTGAACTCCCAATGATCCTCCTGCCTCAGCCTTCCAAGTGCTGGGATTACAGGTGTGCACCACCACACCTGGCCCAAGGTTTTTAAATTGAAATTATTTTTAAATCGAACTGCATATGCACCACTTGCTGCAGTTTAAAGCTATTTTCCAGTATCTAATTCAGTATAGAAGCCCAAAGACCCCAAGTGTATCTCTTTTCCCAGAGAGGAACAAGCAAGGCCCAGCAGTGTCTGCTCCACACCAGGCTGAATTCCCTCACAAAGAAGATGTGGAGCAAGCAGAACTGAAAACCAACCCAGGAGGATGTGTGTCTTTGAACCAAATCATCTCCAAATGCACTGGGAAGTGCTTGCAGGCTCTGTTTGTGTTGCCCCAGAAGAGAGACTTTTCACAAAGGAACTGTTTTTCAAAGAACAACAAGCGCTGCTATTTTAAACTTGGGGGTGGGAGATTGTATCTGGACCGTTTACACAAGCCAGTGCTGGCTGATCTGACATCTAACCCCAGTGTTGGCCAGCACTAGCTTCCAAGTAAGGAGGGAGGGAATTGCATCTGAGAGCTCACGAAGCCGCAGTGGAGTTCTCCAGCAGTGTTAGAACTTTGCAGCGTGGGCAGAAAATCCTGCCTAGAAATCCCCTAAACATGAATACTCTGGTGATGTTTATCACCCAAGTGGCCTTGGGAATTAAAAGGATGTCAGAAAACTGTGGAGGGCACGTCTATTCCTGAGACTTTAGCCCAGTCAGCAGAGATGGAACTTAATGGATGCTAACCATGTGCTGGGGTAGGGGGAATTCCTTTTACTGCTACTAGTTAGCGGCGCTGCATTATCGTGAAAGTCTGGGTCCATAAGCGCTCCCTGCTTGTGCATCCTCACCTGCAAAGAGGAACTCGATACCTGCAACGCCAGAAAAATGTTCTCAATGGTCCAATGAACTGATAGGATGTGCTGCTGCTCTATTTCCCCAGAGGCACGGTGCTTCCCCCAGCAAAAAGAAGATGGTCTCCCATCCCTCCAAATCCAACAAAAACCAGGCAACAGCACCATTTTGCTCCAGGTGCTAGGGTTACAAATAATTATAGTAACAATAACACACTGCCCACTAAAATTTCCATGTTTTCTAGAACATAGTTTTCAAGAAACGGGTCAGCAAGACAGGACAGGGGAAAGTGCTGGAGCCCCTCCTGAGGTCGCTTTCCCCCACTGTTATTTTAAAAATACAACCCTAAATCTTTCCAGGAAACCAAAACACAGCCAAATGTGCTCAGCAGGGGTGCGGAATCACATTTCCCGTTCCCTGACCAGGAGTTTAAAACTAACTAGAAACATTGTCATGACCGCCTGTGGCCAGCTGGAACCTTTTTCTTTAATAAAAATAATTTTCCATGTTCCGAATCTGAAAAGTAGAGGGTTGAGACAGTGCGGCATTCAGAGGGAAGACAAAAGAGCGAGGGAGGAAAGGTTGCCAGCTGTCTCTTGGGTCGTTCAAAGAATGTAGCCTCCCGAGAGAGGGAACTGCTGCTCACCTTTCGGGGGACTTGGCCGTCATCACCTTCAAGCCCCGATGGGAAACGTGAGCCCCCAGCCGGCCTTTCTTTACAGTCAGCCAAAGGATTTTCCAGGGTTGAGTTCTGCCAAGTGGGGGAAGGGGAAGGGGAGCGACCAAGTTCCCACATGTCTTAGCACCACGGTTTTTAAAGGAAATTTTTAAAAGACGGATTTATAAAAGGCACTAACCTTGCCTCTGGTCGGGGAAGCGAACCGGGCCCGGCTGAGGCTGTCTGCCATAGCAGAGTGCCCCGAAGTTGAGGAGCTGAGCCACCACCGGGAGGTTTGCAAGCCAGCTCCTCTGCGCACATGGCATGATTCGGTTGTCCGGAGAAGAAAAGTCACAGAGTCTCAGCCCTCAGCTGCAGAAGTCAAGTCCCCGCCTGCGGCCGCGCAGGCCAAGGCAAGGATGCATGGTCCCGGGGCAGGAGGCAAAGCGGCAGAACGGCGCAATCTCCCTCCTGCTTTGAGTTTTCAGCAGAAAGGGGCTAGCTACCTTTCCCGCTCCCTCCTCCTCAAAGGGGAGTGAACCAGCTGACGGGGTCTGCTTTCTGCGGGTGTGGAACGGGTCAGCCCGGAAGGGCGCAGCCCACCCCGGGTCCCCACCCCTCTGCCTTCGCGCTCCCGCCCCGCCGGCCTCCGGCCAGCTCCGCTCATCTTCCTCCCGGACTCACACCCCTGCATTGCTCCCGCCCGCCCCAGTCCCGCTGGCTGGGAAGCCAAACAGGGGGGCCAGGACAGCCACGCAGAGGACACCGAGGAATCTGACAGCTGAGGCCACCAAGCCAGCCCCTCACCCGAAATAAAGGCGCAAAGGAGGAGCGCAGTCATGGGCCCAGGGGACTCCATCCCGTTTCCTGGCAGTCCTCCCCTAGATCCTGAGCGGCTCCTAGTAAGAGACTCTGTAAGGTTGCTTTCCCGCTCAGAACTCCCTGGATTCTCTTCCAGGGTAGACTAAGATTTCCCCTTCCAAATTAAAAGCCAGTTTTTCTCTTTACCAAGTCACACAGAGGGAAATGGTCTGAGCTAATCTGCTCACTTGACAATGCCCAAGTCCCTTCATCTGCACAGTGAGGTGACTCCAGCAAACACTTGAGAGGACCCGTGGCTGCAGATCAGGACAAGCTTTTCCACTGTCATAACCCATCTTGTCTAGCCCACCTCCATTCACCCTGAAGGAAACCGGGAGAGTGGAGAGAGTAGTCCAGACCAAGGAGGGGTTAAGGATCTACCCAGTCTCCCTGTACAGACTGCCGGAGGTGGGAGATGGGGGCATCCATTCGCATGCTCAAGCTTTTTCACCAGTGAGAGAATAGCACAAAGCAGGGTGCTTGCCAGGCATCCTGAGAATTTATTGGAATAATCCAGCCAAGATTTTTCACCTCTGGGCTCCTTACTCCACTCAGGAAGAATTTGGCCCAGATATGGAGTTCTCCCTGGCCAACAATCAACCATGTGCATTTAGCAAGAGGTCTGGGATACCAACTCCCCCAAGCTTGCACAGGGACAGAGCAGCCAAGTCAACCAAGAGTGTTTAATCTCTTCAGCTGTAGTGGTATTTCCCTTATACTCTCCCTCGATAACTCTTACAAGCATGTATTGAAAGGCACTGTGGACCCTCATGAGAAGGCCTTCTATGCGGTCTTTGGTCACGGAGTGTTGCTCTCAAAGTGTTGCAATTGTGACACCTCAGTTTCTCAGTCTCTGTGTCCTGGCTTGTGATAGAATCCATTTCCTCTGACACATGCTCCCTACCATTGCTGCTTGGCACCCTTGCCAGATGTTCACAGTGATGGAGCCACACAGAACCTCCAGAACCGTGAGCTAAATAACATTTTCTCAGTGTGAGTTAATTGCTTCTGGTTTTTCATTAAATAACACAGAGCTTACTAATATGGATCTTAACCAAGAATATCTATCATCCAGAGTAGTCCAAGCCTGAAATATTAATATTATAAAATCTCACCAAAGATTTGGATTGTGTCAGCCCCTTGAAACTTTCACAGCCAGTATCTTGGTTCTTCTGCACAGTAAGGACTTCCTTCTCTTGATCTCTCCGTCTTCAGTTTTCTAGTAATCCACAAATTCTCTCTGGGCTGACCTGCTTTTCACCCCCCCCCATATGCTATGTTCTACCTCCATAAACCAGTGCCTTCAAGACTGCATATCTTTTTCATCAGTCTAAATTGCTTTGCTCCAACTGCTGATTTCTCTGCTGTTTGATTCCAAGTACTGTAGAAAAGACTTACATAGTTGCACCCGATAGCACAAATACCATTTCATGTCTCCAACTTCAGCAAGTTTTCAACATGACTCAGCACAAAGCACCTTCTGTTTCTATTCTAACATCAAGTTTCTCTCCCTCTTTCCAGAATTTATGAAGTTTCTGCAAAGGTCAGGGTTTCCTCAAGGTAGAGAGAAGACTTAATCTTCCTACCAAATTTTCCTCTGCTCAGTCGGAAAAGGTAACATCACCACAGTGCCTTTGGTAGTGATTTAATTCCGTATGGCTAAGTATTTTCCACATAAAATACAAATTATGACAAAAAAGACCTAAGATACCTCACAAAAAGTTCCTTCTGTTCATGCTTTCCTACTAGGCCCCTAGAAATGTAAGGGATGGCTGAAGTTCAAGGAGAATTAGCTCAGTGCATCTTTCAGAGCTTCATTAACCCTGGGAAGACAAAAGAAACAGCCACCCACTCAAACCGAAACAAAAACAAACAACAAGATATCCTGTGATTTAGCCTCAGGCGTCATAATGAATGTGCCATAAAAAGGGACTGCACATTTGTTGCTCATGCTTCAATACCACAACTGCCTTCCATAATTAAAAAGAAACTCATTATATCACATGCGAGAGTTTTTAAGGTACTTTTTCTGAAACGCATCAGAAAGCAGGAGAAAAGTGATTTTCAAGAATAGTTAGGCTTTTAACTCCATTTGAAGATCAATAAGTGTTGGCTTCAAAAGTTTTGTATTTAAATGTTGTTGTCGTATGTAGTACTTTCTTTCAAACCTCTCTGTAGTCTTGAAATAAGATGGAGCTAGGTACTTGTGATCGAGTATCTATTCATTTTTCTTCCTCCAATTGCATTAATGAGTGATTGGATCAACAATCAGCACAGTCCACTCTGTTGACCCCTAAAGCCCTGGAAGTCTGCCTTCCCTAGTTTAAAAACTATAAAATCTGTTCATTACAAATTTTTAAAGGTTATCTAGCTCTGCATTTAAATGGGTACCATATTAGACCATCCTTCTGATGCTGTGATTATTAATTCAAAGAAAGAAACAATGTCATGGTGATGCCCTTTTGAAAGCCATGACCAAAAATATCATAGAGCCCCGAATAATAGAATATACTACAGACTGAAGGAAAACAACCAGCACACCTCACAAAGAATGTAGATTTCTTGGTTAAATTGAGACCAACATCAGTTTGTAGAGACTCTTAAATTGAGGCAAAATTAAATGTAATAGAGCTTCACTGGGTTGATCCAGAAATGTCCCATACAGGAGCTCTGCCAGAGGGAGCCTAAGCAAAGTGTAAGGGGGACAGAAAGCTGCCTGTTGCAAGGTGTCAGAGCCCAAGCAATGTAAACAAGACATTTATCAAGGCACCAGGAGTGGGACCAGAGCCTGAGGAGGGTGAGGAGAGTATGTACGGGAGAGTAGATGTCCTAGAGCAGGGTGAGGTGGGGAGGGTGATTATGATTTGTTACCTAAAGGGAAACTTATCAAATAAGTACACAGAGTCAGTATAACGAGAAGCAAGTTTCTAACTGCCAGTCAAAGGAAGTACAAATATGAAAACAGAGAAATTAGAATGAACCCTGTAATGCTGGACTGGAACTGAAGACATTAGTGTCCACCTATGGCTGCTGAGGCATATAATGATGCACACAGAAATAAAAATAGAAATGTGCATAAGGATTTGTGAAGTTAGAATTGGACATGACTCTCCCAGTATCCAACCTGTTGGTTAGCAAAGGCGTTGTTCTCAGTGGAGACTAAAAGAGACAGATGGGGCATGAAATCTTGCAGGTCCCTGGGCATCTAGAGACACCTGAAAGCTTACACCAGACACCTCAAGGACTCTGCCCACTGAGGTGCAAGACAAGCAGAAAACTTTGGCCACTGATGTTTATTAACATCTTCCTACCTAATGTCCCTTGCCTTCTTTCAATTCCTATAAAAATGTCACTTCTCCTTGTTCCCTACACATGGCCGTATCACCCTCTGTCTGCCTGTACTGAGGTACTAAACCATATGCCTTACTGCTTTCACAAAAGCCTGTCAAGTGGTCTCTGCCTTACCTGGTTCTTTCTTGCCTTACATCATTATGTATACATGGAGATAAGAGAGAGAGAGAGTGAGAGAGAGAGAGAGAAACAGAGAATTTCCTAGGCCTGCTCACCCAACGATGTTGGAGCAATGACACCATGAAAACAACGAGCATACCTGGTATCCAGATCTTGAAATCTGCATACCATTCTCTGCTATAAGGGTTTCTTGGAGAAATGGCTGATTCTAGGGTTTGGAAGACAAAAGATGTTCTTGTATTGTTATTTTGTTAGTTTTTTTTAATTTTTAAAATAAGAAAAACTTTAAAAATGCAAGCAAGCAAGGAACTACTGAAAGATATTCAACACTGGTGTTCTCAGAGGTTCAAATTGGAGGTATAATTTAGATGTCAACATAGGTATGTGGATGATACAGCTATGAAACAGACTGAGATTTTCTATTAAATAAATTTAACAGAGAATAAGAGACATGATGATTAAACTTTAAGGTACTCCAATATTTAGAGTTCCAAGAAGTAAAGAGAAACAATAAGGAAAATGAGGAGGAGCTAATCAGATAAGAGAAGAATCTAGTGTGAAAACCCTGAAGTCAAGTGAGAAAAATTTAAGGAAGTGTTATTCATTATCTCAAACTCGAGGTAAGCATGGAAGAATAGTTCTGAATTTACATATTCATTAATATGAAAGTCAAAATGGATGAAAGAGATCAAGTTTTGTTCTGTGAAGAAAAACAAAACAGTAACTGTTAAAAAACAGTAACTCTTACCTACCAGTAATGGCAGCTCAATCAATGTCCTTGAAATCTGGCCCAGTTAGAATTTCCACTATAGGAAGCAACTGCAGGCAGGAGTGGAAGAGCCTCAGAAGGCCCAAAGGCCTAGTTATGTGTTGAGCTCAACCAGAAACCTAAGAGTTTCCTGGTCCATCAAGTGAAGGATTAGCTGAGGATCAGGGAGTTCTGCTCTGGTCTTAGAGAGGTGCTCCCTGGCATTTCCCTGCTTCTTGGTAGCCTTCTGGGGTCACTGCTAAAAGAATGTTACTGTGTCCTCCAAGAAATTTTGAAGTCAGTGGATGTGATTAGTTAATTTAGCAGTAAGAATATATCATAATAATATCCACTCTTTTAAAAATTTTATTGAAGTATAATTTGATATAATATAAACCACACACATTTAAAATGAACAACTTTATACACATTGATATATGTGTATATGAAGCCATCATTACAATTTAAATGTTGTTCTTCATCAAACTAAATTTATATATTTATATGTATAAGTTTCTCTGGAACTCCTTCCTCTGGACCCCCTTACTGAGGTATGATATAACATAGTATAAATGGTACACATTTAAAGTAA